TTATCACATTGTGGTAGTTATACTACTGTTATTATAACAATAATAGTGATGGTAATAATAATATTTCAAAGAAATGTGTAAATACAAATTATAGTAATATACAATAATAACAAAGAACAAAGACATGCACTCACAACCACTTGTAATTTTTTTTTCATTTTATTATCATTATTTTTACCATTTCTTACATTTTAATATGGTCAATATTCATAAACTACTGAACTCACATTCAAAAGTAATGCGAGGACACAATATAAAAGTAGGAAGTATACCAGCTCTTGTCGACGGCCAGAGCCACACAAGCGCACGTTAACGGACCTGACCCTGTTCGGTCTCCACAAAACTCTTAGGCAGTTGGGGGAGGGGGGAGGCCGGGCACTTTTTTGGAGCTGTGAGCATGCACATGCCTCACTGACCCCCTGGGGGACACCTTGCCCACACCAGGGAACAGAGGAGTTGCGCGCACAACATGTGTTATAGGTGAACTCCCCACATGACTGAGGGAAAGGCTGGAAATGGCCAGACACACAGCTGGAGGACAACCAGCCAAATGAATGTTGATGTGTCCTGTCCATGCAAACCTGGGAGTAAATATACTTCTGACTGGGTGTTTCAGGGTTCCAGAGGGAGAGGACGAGGCAGAGAAACATTAGTTGTGGAGAGAGAAAGTGCTGGCTGGCAATGGACAAAGGTGGACTGCTTTTGCTGAAGAGAGGAAACACTGAGTGAGTGGCATAAATGCAGCTCTTGGAAAGCAGAATTTTGCAGATGGAACAATTTTCAAGATTTTGAAGGTACTAAAAAAAATTATAATTTAACCTACTAATCAATATTGAGAGAGAGAGAGAGAGAGAGAGAGAGAGAGAGAGAGAGAGAGAGAGAGAGAGAGAGAGAGAGAGAGAGAGAGAGAGAGAGAGAGAGAGAGAGAGAGAGAGAGAAATTAAAAATAAAATAGAAAAGGTAAAGGGGGGGGGGGCATAAGGAGAGGATATGAGAATAGTCCAAGTTGTGCATCTGCCTCTGTTTGCCTGATGCCCTCCTGCAACAGGGACAACAAAAAATTCAGTGATGGATATTGAAATGGTGAATTAAACATAAGTGAGAAGAAGTGCATCGATCACAATCAGAAATATATGGTGGAGAGATGGAATGAATTTCAAAGGAGAAGGGGAGAAGTAGATGAGAGAGCAAAAACAGAGTAAAGAAAGCAGAAGTACAAGCAGTCCATGATACAGACCAGCCACAAATGCAAGACTCTGGGCAATAATGCCTTCAGATTTCCCCAACCCTTCTCTGGGCACTGGTGCTACCAAGTCCAGCAAGCCTTGTTAAGCCCTGCCAAGCCTCAGGCAAGTATCCTCACTGACCCAGGAAGCTTGACTAGTATGCGATGCTGTCCCTTCGAAGTGTCTTCAACAGCTTGTTAATCTTTACCACTGGGAGAGTTGTGACCCCCAATGCCAAGTATCAAGATCTATTCTCTATTTCTCTCTGAGGATTAGTTTTCAATATCACATATGAGAGCTTATTAATAACAATGGATTTCCATACAAATTGTTTTTTCTACATTAATGGGATGATGAAGTAAATTACAAGATGGCTTCGTGAGAATGTGGAACTCTTTTGTTCTGTGAAGTGACCACACTTATCCTGATAACTGAAGGGCTTGATGAAAACTATTTCCAAACAATATGTATGTTAGATGCCACTGGTATCAAGCTTTGGTGAAAACACAATGAGGTTTAAGGAAATTAGCAGAAGGAGCATTCTGGGCCAGATCCTACAATGTTCCCCTGCTAGAGCAGGCCTCTTTCTTTCCAGGGATGGGGGCATCCAGGCCAGTCTGAGGTCTGGCACTGGACCAAGGCTGGCAAAAGCAGTAGCACCTCCATCTCACCAGGGCTCATCTTAGTTGCCACCAGGAGGCACTTTGAACCCTAATAACATTGAGTACACGAGCCACCATTCACTTTTCTCAGCCAATTAGAGGAAAACACACATAGTCTTGGCCAGTTCTGACATATATCGGATACAGACAGAAAGTCACGAAAGGCAGAATCAGTCAAGTGGAGCTGCAAAATTCCTCCACAGGGGATGATGTCATGCAATGGGCCAATTCACCAAAGAGAAATCAAGGAAGGTCACTGTGGCCTCCCAGCCAAAAGCCAGCCAGTTTCACTCCTCCTGCCTCTGACAAGATGAAAATGAACCTTTTCTTAATTTCCACTGTCATGTTGCAAATGAATAATGCTGTACAGGGCAATCATCATCTGTCTCCACTTCAAACCTTATCCATATGCATGAATAACTGAGTATTGGAAAAGACAAAAAATGTACATGAATATTCATAATAATACACTGATACCAATCATGGATATGATGATTACAGTAACTAATGTTGACAAGCCAACAAACAAAATCAAAATATAAAACAGCAGCCAAAATTTTTTTCAATGCCAATGATACTCATGACAGCAAAAAATAATACACATCATTACATAATCATAAAAAAAATATATATTTACCAATACAGATTTCAAAATGGTACAAGCAATAATAAAGACACCAGTAATGAAACCACAAAAAGTCCCGCCCAGCTCCCACCACTTGACGGTCAATGAACGGCCAGAGTGAGCAGTGAGCCTGGCCTAACGCAACATGACTGATTGATTCCCTTCCTTCCCTTTGGCCTCCTTGCTGCCCGTATGAGCTGTGAGCTGTGAGCTGTGAGCTGGCGTGGAGAGTGAGAGACAAGTGCAACTCCTGTTGTTAGTTGGAATGAGA